AGTTAATGTTTGCCAAACATATGTCTTTGTTTTAAGCGAGATATTTTTGCACCCTTTTAAAGATTTTTATTGAAAAAATTGCATCATAGTAAAATGCATTATGTTTACTTTTGCTTCTAACCCATTCACAAGTAACGAAGTAAGAACCGTACAATTCTTACTTAGTGGATGTTGGGCCTCTGTTATAGATTGGAAATTTTTGCATGATTTTTTAAATTTCATGTGTAAAATTATACACCATACTTAAAGTAAAGATACCGGTAATTCCTCACAGAATACTCTATGGATAAATTTGCACATTACACTTTATTTCATGCGTGTTTGCTTGCACGTACAAATTGTGAGGTGCCTGGTGTATGTGGTCTGCACGCGACTTATTTGATCTTATTAGCTTTCTCCACCTCATCACTGTCCTGTCTCCACGTTTTTTTAGCTCCCACGTTAGACATTACCTCCCCCAGATATAAAACCATAAACGACGTGCCTGCGCTCATATTTAGTGAGGTGGACCCCGAACATGATAAGTATATTCAAGACTGAAAGAGAATCATTCACCCATTATGCATTTCTCAAACCTGTTTTTTTGTTCTTTTTCTGTTCCTTTGGCATTCACCCATTAACTTCACGATATTTCCTTGTCACAGCTGCGGACCTAAGGAGACATTGATTGTATATTGAATGATGATGAGTTGGCGTCCGGAGCTGCGAGAGCTCTCCTCTATTCTTGACTCTGTCCCCAAGTTATTTAACGATCTCCATTTCCCTAAATTTTAGGAAAGAATCTCTCCACTTCTGCAATTTTCACTTTTTAAGGATAGTTACTTGTCTTGATAATCTTTGACTTTGTGGCTAAAACTTTTCTTCTCCTTCTAGAAAATTCATAATTAGTGTTAAATATAATTTTAAATCCTTTTTTAATTTGTACTATATAAAATTTTATTTGAAAGTGTAAATGAGGAAATATATATGTTCAAATTTATTCTAACTAGCATAAACTTTAAGTACAATATTTTATTTTGTCACATTTCTCAGCCAAGAGAGGAGGAGAAGAGGGTTTGCACTAACTTGGATAGTGAAGAGAAGATAGCGAGGAGTCGGTGTAGTTTCCAATAGGTTTTGAATGTGTGTTTACATAACTATGATGTATGACAAAATAAAATATTGAGTCTAGGGTTAATTTTTGCCCATTAGAACAAATTTGAATACATGTATCTTCATATCATCACTACTGAGTCAAATAAAATATTGTTTATGGCATTTGGCCTCCGTTATGAATTAATTAGGGATTTTTGCACTGTTTATACTTGAATCATGAGGTAAGATATGCACCATCACCCTGAAAGTTAATGTAAAAAGGGAGAATTACGTTAAACGACCTGCATGTTCTAAAGTACATATTCAATCAATTTTGACGAGTTTATGATTGAAACCTAACAGTCGTTTCAGTTCTACTACTCATAGTTCTGATTCTGGAATTACTTTCATTTTGGGAGTATTCTAAGTTTTGTTTAACTATACATGTTGGCATATTCCATGCTTCTCAACTTAGCCATTTTTCTTGTTTAAAGTATCGCAACTGGTCTTGTCTAATGACGGATACTTAGTTTGACTTTATGCTGGTTCTATTATTTTCCTGTGACTGGAAAGGCTAACAAAGGGCAAAAATCATAGAAATCCAATTAAGTATCATCAAATGGAAATTAATTCTTTTGTCATTTGCGTCAAAAGGATCAAAGGAAGCGAAAAAGAGATTAAAAAAAAGAAAAAAATAATTAATAAATAATTGATTGTGTGAATCAATTTTATACTTGAGGATCCTTATTGAGTTGGCTGTAACCTTAGTTAGTTGGAGGTGCATTGAGTTTTTCAAATGAGTTGATTAGCCTAATTTTCCTACTCTAATTTGATTTTTGTACTTGTTACTACTAATCCTCAATCATGATGAAGTTTATGTGGTTGAATGCAATTGGCTAAGGCTTGTTGCTTTAGTTAAGACGTTCTCTTTGGGAAAAATGACTGAACTAAAATTTGATAGCATGATTGAAGAATGGGGTCCTTTTGAGATTACAACTTCTTGAGCAATGCCATTTGTGTTTTTTTTATTCCCTCTGGGAAAATGTCACTGCAGGACCTTTGAAGCAATTTTATAGCAAAAAATACCAAAAGAATTTGAATTATCATAATAGGACTAGGGAACTAAAATATAAATAAATTTGAGTGTGAAATAACCATAATACCCTTGCTTCTTTTATAAAAAAAAAGTCAAGCCAATAGTCATCAGCGTTGGCTATCGGACCACCGGTGACCGTAGCTCCAATGATAGTGACAATTTTATTGAATAATTAGTAAAGGTAGTTAAGGGAGGTTTGATCCAATGATGCATTGACCACTTAAAAAGCTTGGTGGCTACCAAGCTCTTTTAATCTTATTAGGCAAAACAAAATATATATGTAATCACCCAAATTCATAAATTACTTCCATGTTATAACATAATGGTAACTTGTAAATTAACATGTTCATATAAGTATTAAATTTAGTTTCCAAATCACTTGTTTGTTATAAGATAATTGTGAATTGTTAATTCCTAAATGGCACTTGTTATTTTACTGATTCTACTTGTTAATTGGACATATTCTATTAAAATTAGGGGTTTAAAAATTCATGTATTTTATAAGTTCTCAATTGTAAATTAACATGAGTGTCATTAAAATAATGTTCATATAGGTAATAAATCTATTTTTCAAACCACTTGTTTGTTATAACATAACAATAACTTGTTAATTCCTAAATAACACTTACTCCCTCCATTTAAAAATGTAAGGCATTTTTAGTCTTTTAAAGTATAATCATTTTCTTTTTTTCCAAAATTGCCCCTATTGGTAGTGACTTTATATTTAGGTGTTTAATAGATGTAAATATAGAAAGATAAGGTTAGTTTAAAAGAAGGTAACTACTTTATTGAGGTGAGATTCAGTTAAAAATGTCTTACATTTTTGAATGAAGGGAGTATTATTTTATTAATATTACTAGTTAATTAGACATAGTCTTTTAAAATGAGGATTTAAAAATTCATGCATTTTACATGTTCTTAATTGTAAATTGACATTTGAGTGTCATTAAAATAACATGTGCATATAGGTAAAAAATTTAGTTTCCAAACCACTTGTTTGTTATAACATAAGGGTGACTTGTTAATTTCTAAACTTCACTTATTATTTTTCTAATGTTACTTATTAAACTAAATACATGAATTTTCAAACTCCCCAATTTGTAATTGATTATATCAGACTAACAAATAACTTAAATAAAATAATAAGAATTGTTCAGGAATTAACAAGTCTCCATTATGTTATAATTTGAAAGTAGTTTAAAAATTTGGGTGACTATATATATATTTTTTGCCTTATAAGATTATAAGGCTATGGTGGTTACCAAGCCACCAAACTTTTTAAATAGCCAATGGGTCATAGGATCAAACTCCCTTTGACCTCCTTCATCAATTATTCAATAAAATTGTCACCAAAGCTCTGATAACTGGTCGGGGCTTTGATGGCTGGTGCCGACAACAATAGAGTTTACTTTAATTTTTTCTAAAAGTAAGGGCATTATGGTCATTTCACGCATGAGTCTCCCAATCCTGCGGTGATAATTCATATTCTTTTAATCCTCTTTTGCTATAAAATTGCCTCAGAGGTTCTGCAGTGATATGTCCTCTTTTTCTTTTGTGCAAAGTTATTTCTTTCTTTTGCTAGAGGGCAAAGAAATATTTAAAAGGCTGTCATTTTCAACATTTTTTTTATTCTTTATTCTTTTCTTTTTCTTTTCAACGTTTTTAAAGATTTTTATTTCATAGTTCAAAATCTTGCAGGTTTGATAGCACATTAATGTTTTGTTTCTTGAAAATGTGCACAGTGCATTATACTAAAAAGGAATAATTTACTTAGTTGGATTTAGCTCAAGTTTTATATATTCTTATTAATTGTTTACCTTCTAATTATCAAGTGTGAGGCTTTGTAATTGTGTTTATGTGAATGGAAGCTAAAATTTGAAATAAACGAGAAGGTACAATATCTTTAATAACGATAGGGAACAACAAGCTAGAGATGCCTTCTCATATATTAGACGGGATCAAAGATTAAACCATACTGATTCTAATTGGTATAGTTGAATTTGTTGTAGATTTTATTATAATTGACAGTAATTTTCTTTGTTTAATACAGCCTGGAGGCATGATAAAACTCTCCAGGGGAGACCAGCCAAGCTGCTATAAATATGGGAGAATTAATGCTTTCTTCAAAAATAAATTAAATGCGTACTGTCATCCGTACTAGGAATGCTCGAATGTCTTAATTATAGGACATTAAAATTGTTTTTGCATAAAAAAGTTAAAAACAAAAAGTAAAGGTAACATGAGAATTCAATTAAAAAAAAAAACAATGTGAGAATTGACATGTTTTATTACACTGGCCCCTTAAATAAAAGTAAAATTAAATATACGGTCCGTACGTGTGGATTCTTTTTCTCTTGACAGCTTTCCCAATTAATCTCGTCACTCTTATGTATCCTCACATTTTCCTCATCAAGTCTGGATCTGGTATGTGATATAAGTCTACTCATTCAATGAGTGTTTTAATTTTAACTATTGAATTTTATCAATACTTAAAAATTAGTAAGATACATTTTTTTTCAAAAATTTAAAATAATTCTTACTCTTTTCATACGCTATCCCCTATAAATTTCAAGATTTGGTACTTTCATAATATTATATGATAAAATCTCTATCAGTCATTGGATTAAATTGAACAACTATTATCATGCCAAGTGAGATATTTATTGAATGAGTAGATTTAAGCTATTTTCCAGATCCAAATCCTACCTTCATTACTCTCCTGTCTCCTCACTTTTTCACCTCCCACATTCCCTCCCCACATATATAAAAAGAGAGAATTACGTTAAACGACCTGCATGAGCTCGAGTACACACATATTCAGTTAATCATAATGGAAAACCTAATGGTGCCTTTTGCTACTTCAGCTTTAGCCGGGGAGGTGTTCCCTTTCAAAGAAGAAGAAAAGAAAATAGAGGAATCTGCATTAGAGAATGGACGTTCAATGATCAGTACTCCTACCATCTCCCAGTTCCATGGGGTGGATGACGCAGAGATGGCCAAAGTCATTGCTCACTATCTCCACAGTTTAACTCACATAAAGGATCACATCTTAGGTTAATTTTGTTATTTAACAATACTCTCATGCATTGAGTTTCCAATTTCTGTCATATATGCCTCAAAAATATAGTCTTTAATGCATGTATATATGCAGGTTATCCAACTAATCTAGACTTCAACTACGATGCACTGGTGCAGTTGCTACGTTTCCACTTGAACAATGCTGGTGATCCATTTATTGGAAACGGTTATTCGCTGAACTCAAATCCATTTGAGCTATGCGTGCTGGATTGGTTTGCCAAACTATGGCAAATAGAGGAGAATGAGTACTGGGGATATGTTACCAATGGTGGTACTGAAGGAAATTTTCATGGGATTTTAGTAGGGTTAGTACTAGATCTTTTATCATTCCCATAAAAATATATCCAAGTGTAATGAGTTTTCCTCTCTCTCTCTATATATATATATATATGCAAAGATAAATATATATTCATTTTTTACTAACAAACAGGAGAGAACTATATCCTGATGGAATTCTTTACACATCACGGGACTCGCATTATTCAGTGTTTAAAGTAGCCAGGCTTCTTAGAATCAAGTGTGTGGTGGTAGGGACTCTAATCTCAGGTGAGATTGACTATAAGGAACTAAAGGCGTCTCTTTTATCAAACAAGGACAAGCCAGCAATCATCAACCTAAACATAGGTCTTTTTCCTCTACTCTCTCTCTCTCTCTCTCTATATATATATATGAAACAGTGCTGCTGTTTTGCTAGCAGGGACAACTTTAAAGGGAGCCATTGATGACCTTGATCTTGTACTACAATCACTTGAAGATTGTGGTTTCACTCAAGATCGATTCTACATTCATTGTGATGCCGCATTATTTGGATTGATGGTACCTTTTGACAATGGGGTGAGAACAATAGATGAAATGAAATGGAAATATCTGATTAACAATATGATACAACAAAATTTAAAGTAAATTAGAAAGTAAGAATAAATCAATAATGAACTGTATGATTTGATTGGACCTTTATTTAGTTTGTATTAGAGATTAACATATACACTTCTTTTAAAAAAGAAATTGATCCTGATATCATGATGCATTACTTGTGGAATTCACAGGCACCAGATATTTCTTTTAAAAAACCTATCGGAAGCGTAACTATTTCTGGCCATAAGTTCCTGGGCTGTCCAATGCCTTGTGGCATTCTGATAACTCGTTTAAAATACATTGATTTTCTCTCAAGAGAAGTAGAATACATCGCTTCAAGAGATGCCACCATCTCAGGAAGTCGAGGAGGCCATGCTCCGATCTTCATTTGGTATGCTCTCAACAAGAAAGGCTTCAATGGCCTTCGAGAAGAAGTTCAAGAGTGCATCAAGAAGGCGGTCTACCTTCAAGATTGCTTGAGAGACCAGGGCATCGGAGCCATGTTAAACAAGTCTAGCAACACTGTGGTGTTTGAGAGGCCTCGAGATGATGCGTTTGCTCGTAAGTGGAGCTTGGCTAACAATGGGAATATATCACACGTGGTAGTGATGCAACATGTGTCGGAGGAAATGTTAGATTCCTTTGTGAGTGAGTTTGTGAAGAATCGGTCTGCATGGTATCAAGATTATAAGAGGCAAATGCAGCCTCCTTGCATTGCTGAAGATATTGGTATTGAGAATTGCGCTTGTGCTTTTCACAAGATGTCGATTTCATGATTATGCAATTGTGTGGCTTCGTGCTCTAATATGATCACTTATTAATGTTGCTTTTATTTGAACTGTGTTTTGTATTTTATTTCGTTCTCTTTCTTGTTTCTGGTTTGTGTTTTGGGTAGTGAGCGATTTCACTTTGTTTCTATATAATGTTTGCTTAATTTCGATGATTGTCATCGGAGGTAGTAAGAGCTATATATGTTCTATGATTTGTCAACCATTCAATAAGACTACGAAATTTTTAGCTGATATTTTAATGATATTTGGTTCAATTTAATCTTTACAAAAGTATCTTGGAATTTATGTGGTAAAGTATCCAAATGATGCTTGCAATAAACTTGAAGAAAGGATGAGACTGGTGAAGAAAGAATTTTGTATTCCTATTTCATAAAATAGTTATAAAAAAAAAACATACATGAACAAACTGGTCTGCAAGTGTATGTACAAGTCACAACAAGTAATTCAAAGTGAGAAAAGTATTATTCCCACGATAATTTGGTTCTAGCTGGAACCTGAACAAGTATTATAATTTTATACTGTTCAATAATTTGAACGACACAACAAAACACCGAAGAGCAAAACCAAATATAAACTACATAAGTGATGAAAAATAAATGATTTGATTTTCAAGGATTTAGTATAGAGGGTTTTATTTTTATTATTTCAATGTCTATAAAGTTCAACTGTATTCAGATTTGACTATTGATTAAGATTGCATATTTCCCTTGTGCATTGTACTGAAAAAACTCAAGTTACCTGGTTGGATTTAACTCTAGTTTATGTATTGTTATTAATTAATTTACCTTTCGAATTATTGCGTGTGACACTTTGTAGTTTACAATTGTTTTGATGTGAATTGATAGCTAAAATTTGAAACAATTAAGTGACAAGTTATAATATCTATAAAAAAAAGGGGATCGTCGACAAACTAGAGATGGCGTTACGCATATCACGTGGGGTTAGAGAATAAACCATACTGATGATTGTCGGTATGTTCGGCATCCCCACCCCCCCTCACTTTTAAAAATTGTTTTGTAATACAATTATCAGATAAAATAAAACAAAATGAAACTATATTTGGCTATGTTAATTTAAAACTAATTTTAAATATTAAAAAAATAGACTGATAATGATGATTGATGCAATTAAGTATGATCGTTTATGATAGAAATTGGATGAATTAACTATATTTTTTAATAATCAAATGATATTTTGAAAGTAAGAAAAATAAAATGAAAATAACTTAAAGATATTTTCATTTTTAAAATAAAATATTTTTTTTAAAATAAATTCAAAATATTTATCCAAATAATTTTTTTTACTTTTTTTAGAACAGAAAATAGTTTTTAAATACGGAAACCAAATTGGACGTACAATTTGTAGTTCAATTTTTTTTATATTTTATATATAATTGGTAGTGTAATTTTTTTTTGTTTAGTAGGCATGACGAAACTTTCCAATAGAGACCAACTCTGCCATGATCATGGGAGAATACTGTCTTAAAACATATTAAATATAACAAATCAAATGTGTAATGCCATCCATATTATCAATGTTTGAATTATTCAATTATAAGACATCAATAATTGACACATATGGCTGCTTAAGTATGAGGTTTTGAAATTGAACACTTATAAATGCAAAAAATATGTTTGATAGAGCGTCCAACAATTTTCGAATCTGATGAGATAGTCATATAAAAATTATTAACAATTGAATTAGAAAGCTATAAAACAATAAAAAGTAATATGATACTCCTTTAGTTCACTATATTAGTCATCTTCTAAAAGCATAAAATTTGTTCCACTCTATAAATTATTAGATGATAAGATTGTTTTGTTTCAAATTAAAATTTTTAAACTATCCTTAAAAAGTAAATAAGAGAAAGACAGAAAGATAATATTATAGTTTATTTACTTTTTGCTTTGGGTTATCTTTTGGATTTTACTTACTTCTATAATTTTATTTTTTATAATTTTATTGTATTGATATTGATAATAGTGGTATAAATGACTTATAAATAGAATCAAAAAAAAGTATTTAAGTGATATATGGCAAAAGGATAAGAGTTGAAGTTTTTATCACCTAAATTTGAATTTGATGAGTGGCTTAAATTTATTTATTTTGTTAGTATTTTAACTATAACTATTAAATTTTATCAATACTTTTTTTAGTATCAGATGACAAAATTTTTTATATTTTTCAACTAAATCGAATGATTATTATTGTGTCTTATGAGATACTCATATTGAGTGGACATAAATTATTCATTGGATCCAAATGTTTTCAAGCAGTATATGCACTTAATGCCTTTCAATCATGTCAGGTTTTGTATTGTTACTTAATGGTCTCATGTATTGGAAGAGAAGCTGGGAGCTAGCAAGCTAACACATTAAATGCATTTAATGCCTTTTAAGCATGTCAGGTTTTGCACAAAGTATTTATTCAGCGGACTGACATTAAAATAATAAAAAATTAAATTATAGTTAAACAAGAACAAGATTGTAAGTTCTAAATAATGACCGAATATTTTTTTAGTGAATTGGTTTAAAAATTTACTACAAATCTCTCCATGATGTGCAAACCATTAAAATAAAAATTTGCAATTAAAATTCTACAAATTTGAAAACGAAAAAAAGAAAAACTTGTCATACGTGTCACCGTTTCTGGTGATTTGCTACTCTTATACCCTTATTTGTAACTCTCAAAACACGAATTTTCAAGATTCATTTTGTAAAGAAAAACCATCTCTCAATAATGACATGTTTGGCAAGTTTTTTAATTGTTACAAATTAACAAATTTCACTTGCAAATTTTTATTTTGAGGGTTGTAAATCATGAAATAAGAGTAGAAATTTTTAAACCAATTCACTAATGGTGCGTTCATATTAATGGAGATTTATAAAAATTTATGAATTTGACTTTCATTTCTTATTATTATAATTTCTTTATAATTTTAAATTCTAATACATACACTCTGGTGGTCATTTGTAATTTCAACCACTTCAAATATCTCATTCTTTTTTTATTTTTATTATTGATACCTCTATGACTTTGGTATTTTTTTCCATCCCCCATTTTTGTCCCTTGTCAATTATAAAATAAAGATAAACTCGTTATTCTCAAATTTGTCATTTTTTTTGAGTCTCAACTCATTTATCTTCATTTGAAACTTTTAAACCACCAAAAAAAGGATTTTAAATATGAGATTAAAATGTAATATTTCAAATCTAAAATTTAAATCTAATATCAATCCAAATGGTATCTAAATAATTTCTTAACCTTATTTCAGATTTATAAATATTTTAATCCTTATTTAAATTTAATTCATTAATCTTTTGATCTTTCAACATTATTCTCTTCCCCTTTTTATTTCATGCATATTGGCTTGCACAAACTGCTGGGTGCCTCGCGTATGTGGTCCGTCTGGCTTTTTAATTACATGTTAATAGCTTTCCCTCCCCCAAATGTAAAACGCGTTTGAAGAAAGAGTTAAAAAGCATTTTTCCCCCTAAACTATTTGCTTTGAAGCACCTGGTATTTTATACTTTCGTGTAATGTAATTTTTTTCTTCAACTTTTAAAAATAGTTCATTGAACATACTATTGTTAAAAAAGTTAAATTTAATCATTAGTTAACTTTAAAATTATAGGAAAGCACCTCAATAATTATAAAAAATGACCCATATATAAAATTATACATAAGTATCCTATAAGAAAATTAATGTCAATTAAGTTCTCTAAATTTCATATAAATAACAGGATACAAAAGTTACTTCTTATCCATGTAAAATTAAAGGACAAAATATGATTTTGGCCAACCATTGTTTTAGGGATTTAATTAATATTAATAAAATATTACTTTAACTTATTATTTTGCTAACTTTACTTATTAATTTATAATTATAAATTACAAATTCGGAGGTTTCAAATTGTAGGATGCAATAAGTTTTTTTTTTATAAATTGGCAATTAAATATTAATAAAAAATATGTTTACATAGATTCATTGTGAATTTCAAATCTCCTAATCTATAAACATGAAATGGACTTGTTAAAATATTAACTAAAATTGTCATTTTATAAAATGCAACTTGTTAATTTGCAAGGTTAAATGCAAAATAAGAGGCTCGAATATGCATGAACGAATTTGTGATCACATTAAATGAACATGCTAGAACCTTAATTGGACTTATTGTGTTAGAAGGATTCATTTATCAATTCGCAAGAGTCATTTGTTAACATTTTTTAGCATGTCAAAGATTTTTTTTTAAATCCTAATTCAACTTGTTATCCTAATAACTAATTAAAATTTTATACAGAGTTATTGAGCTTCAAAAAAAATTTATTTTGATAAACACGTTAAAAATAACATATAAATAAGATGAAAGAGTTTTGTTATAAAAAGGAGGGGGAGAGGAATATATATATTCCAAAAACAAACATCTAAAAGATTAATATCCAACCAACTTCCTACTTCAACATCTAAGAATTTATTTATCAATCTGAAAGCATGATATGCATTTAACGCCTTTCAATCATGTCAGGTTTTGTATTGTTACCTAATGGTCTCATGTATAGGAAGAGAAGCTGAGAGCTAGCTAACACATATGCAATGAGCATGTTAGGTTTTGTAGGATGAAACATTTGGCACAAAGTATTTATTCAGGGGAATGACTTTAAAATAATAAAAAAATTAAATTACACTTAAATAAGAACGACAAGATTTTAAACAAAGTCTGGAAAACGCTAGATAGCGTGCCATCTAGTGGAAAACGCTACAACTAGAGGTCTAGAGACTCAAAACTCAGTTTTTACTTTCCAAAACTTGTTAATTAAGTTCAAATCAGTTGGCTTTTAACTTTGAAAGTCATTTTAGAAACGTATCCAATTTTAAACTAAGCTCTCTATAACTATTTTTCTGCTAGTGAGTTAACAAGTGGCATTAGCAAATTAACACGTTAAGTTAGAATTTTAATAAGCCACAGGGATTGAATATGTGAATG